TTTTAATCGAACCGCGATTGCGCCATACGATAGTGCAAACAAGGATTTTTGATGGCTCAGGTTGGAACTCGTGATTAATAGGGTCGCGGAAACTGATAATCGGCCTTGCTAATCTTTGGTGCATGGAGTTCTTGGCAGTATTGGTAACTTAGTTAACAAAATAAGAGTTCAGGAAAGCAAGGTGGCATTTGCAAGTAAATGTTTTGAAAATGGACACACTAAGATCGTTTAATTTTCGCGCGTTTATTAAGAAGGACATGAAAAAAGACGTCAGAGGTTTCTCCGTGTGGTAAAGGTGCGAATTTTCACGAAAACCAAACTGACAATCTCAAGTGCTATCACATAACTTAATTGCCCATGTTTGGTCGCGTATACAACCAATCCGTGGTTGCCAAAGTAGTAGTAGATCTGTGTGGAGAACCAGCCCAAGCTAATGAATTTTCGCGGGGTGCGAATATTCACAAAAAACCAAACTATCACCTTCTGTTTGTGTGGGTGAAGATTGATGACTTTTCGTGGAGTGTAAATTTTCACAGAAACCAAAATTTGCTGTCACCCACAAGTTTCAGCGATTTAATTGCTCTGAGTAGCTACAGCAATAAGGAAATTGGTGGCACAAAATGGCGGCTTCTCATGAGGCGCAAATTTTCACAAAAAACCAAAAATTGCTACTAACTTAAATGTTGGCTCTGGGCAGGCCGAGGTACAAAGAACCGCCACAATTGCTGAGTTATGGCAAAGTGCAGATTTTCCAAAAGAAACCAGACAAGAAATCACAAGCGCTTGCTAACGATTTAATTCTCATTGGATGGTCACCAATACAACCAATCCGAGGTTGCCAAAGCAGGAGCCCTGTGTAGGAAAAATGCCGAAGAACCAGACCAAGGTGATGAGTTTTCGCGAGGTGGGAATTTTCACAGGAACCAAAATTTGCTGTCACACGCAAATTTCAGCGATTTAATTGGTCTGAGTAGCTACAGCAATAAGGAAATTGATGGCACAAAATGGCGGCCTCTCATTAGGTGCAAATTTTCACAGAAAACCAAAAATTGCTACGAACTTAAATGTTGGCTCCAGGCAAGCCGATGCACAACGAACCGCCACTGATTGTTGAGTTATCGCAAACAAGAAACCAAACAAGGAATCAAAAGCGCTTGCCAACGATTTAATTGTCATTGGATGATCATCAATACAACCAATCCGAGGTGGCCAAAGAGGGTCATAACAAGAAAAGAATCACACGTCTGTACAGCAAAAAAGAAGCAAATAAAGAAACAAAAAGTTGAAAATCAGATTGTCTGGATCACAAACGTCGGAACGTCGCTTATTGCTGAATGACGAGGCTTGACGGGCCAAACAGGGAGACAAAGTGGGCCGCGTAGGGCTGGTACTTTGGATCTAAAAGAAGTAACAAGCGGACTTGAGAAACCCTCTTTAAGGAACTCAAATAAATTTGATCAGACTCTGCAGGGCAATAAAAACACCTACTGATTTTATGTAAGTAGTGTGGTTTTCGATTACCTTCCACGAATGAGCAGGTGAGTGGGGCAGCTCGCTCGAAGAAGCGGAAAACGGAGTAGAAGACAAGCGGATCCGACGACAACATGGCGGAATCGAGGACCTTGCGCGGCGTGTCTGGAAGACTCAGAAGTTCTGTGTGGTCTTTGCAAAATCTGTAAGAAGATGCCATATTTGGCAGAATCACTCAAGGTCAACTGGTTGGTCAAGGTCAAAAATTAAAAGTGGTAGAGAACCGACTCACCTGAGGGCAGTAATGGGATCGCCTTTTGCCAACAACACCTCCATGATACTCTCATTGGCGTTACCCAATCTCTGGATAAAAAAATTACCGCGTTTGAGGACTGACATATTAAAATGCATCAAATACCATTAACTCAGGTGGAAGTCAAACCGAAATGACATTTTTTTGCCAATCCAATGAGGTTTAAGGAGTTTGAGCTGACCTTCAGTTTAGCCAATTAAAATGACCGGACAACGTGATTGGTCAGAAGTGCAGTGCATTTATCAAAAGGAAGAGACGGCGATTTGAAAATATTTAAAAATTCGTTTTTTTAAACACAAGGATTAATAAAAGCGGCATTATCTCACATGGAGCATATCAAGAGCCAATTGGCCAGCAGGCGGAAAGGTTGACTCGATGGACAGAAGACAATTGGCCTAGATGGAGAAATTTGAGAAAATAAGCAAACGATTATCGAAGTAAAGTTAGCCTCAAAGAGATCGAAAATGACACTTACGATCTCCTTGGAGTCAACGAGAATTCCCGACTGAATGAGGTGGACAAGACGCATGAAGTCACCAGCATTGACGAGGCTCTCAAATAACATGTCGTAGAACACAGGCTGAAGTGAAAGAATTACTACAACATTGCCGTCACGGTGTACTTGTGGAAGTGGATTAGCCAATAAGGAGGAGGCGCGCATTTTGAGAGACCCAATCAGAGTTAGAGGATGGACTACTTACGTCAACGGCGAGAGAACGGGATCTAAGAGCACTGATGTATCGCAGAACGACATGCGAAAGAAACCGCTGGATGTGCAAGTTCTAAAAATGAAGAAAAAGTGCCTGATTTAAGGAGAGAAGCGGAATAAAACTGATGAATCAGAAATAGCGCCACCTCGGAGGCAGACAGAGGCGATAGGATAGTCTCAAGGACGTCGTCGGGGGTGAAAACGAAAGGCTGCTCATAAGGTCGACAGATTGGCTCTGAAGGTGAGTCCTACAAAGAGAAAGAAGCAGGCGATTAAAGGCCCAAATCGTAGAATGAGGCGCTGCCGAAAAAACCTGACCTGTGTTCGAGTCCGGGTGGGCTTGTTCTTGCCACGCTTTGACGCCTTCCTGGCGGCCTTCTGAACCGCGACGAAACGCGCAAAAATCGACGTAAGTGTCTCCAGGTGGCGTGAGGAAGCTACAAGCGTCGAGAACTCGGTTAGTGGGGGCGTGGGTGGGTGCGCGATCGCGGTGATCACGTCCTCAGCAAGTTGACGACAGTACTCGCGCAGAGTCGGCTTCGCACCGGACCGATTCAAGAGGCACTCGACCAATACCACCTGAAATTAGAGTGCTGACGTTTTTCGAAATACACTCTACTGATAACATTTAAGTAGCAGGTAGTTTTAATTCTAGTTTATCGATTTTTCGCTACCGAGTTTAGGCAAATGCCATGTCCGTTCTGCTTATAAATGTGCGGCCATCGACTACTTAAAACTCAAGTAAGCAGCGGTTTGTGGAAGACGTAAGCGAGAGCAAAGGAGTTTTCAAAGTCATGTGTCCTATGATGAAAAGAAATGCACATGTTTCAGCACACACCAACGACGAAAACCGGCCAAAACGATTGGTCACTTGTCATCGAGCAATCGGATATCGATTATCCAGTGGTCTGATTGGTCACGACGGCTTACCGGGTCGGAGATGAGCTTGGCGAAGGCATGAAGGTCAAGGTCAACCGTCCACAGACAGCCTGGATGTAAAAATAAACACCGGAATTTCACCGCTGAGGACACATGAACTTGAATGAGTCAGAGGTGATGAGCGCGCACTTACCAAGCCTTCCATCAATGACGACGTTAGGCGGAAAAATGATCCACGAGGAGGCGTCTTCAGATGCACGTGGTTAAAGAAAGCTCTCAATTGAGGAGGGCAGCAAATATATATTTTTTTACAAGGTAATAAAAGGATACACAAGGGTGTACTGAAGTCGGCTCCGGGTTCCAGCGATAAAGCTGGAATATCTAGACGCAAAAAATGCTACTTAATTTCATATAAGTACAGATTTTGTTATCGGCGAACACACGACGCACCTTTACAGGGGATATTCACGTCGGCGAGTGAAATTGGCGGTAAGATGGGGTAGTGCCTTTCAACGCCGCCTTCAGTTTCTTTGCCCTTGAGGGCAATATCGTAGGCAAGCGAGGTGCGTGAGTGCTGGTGGTGAACCAGGACTAAGTCGCTAATGAAATTGACCGCAATCCTGCCCTGCTCGGGCACAACAAGCGCGTGTACTTTGTGGGCTGGAGCGTTCCTACAAAGGGGGCACATTGAGGCAACCAATAAGAAAAGCCCACTTCATTAGCTTGTACAAAGCCAGCTCAACGCCACCGGCGGCTGTTTTGGAGAGGATGCACGCGTAGAGTTGGCCGTAGCTAGACGGAAGGAGGCAAGTTAGGGGGCATGCTTGACCTACAGGTTAGCCAGAAAGCAGTTTTTTTGTTGCAGCTGTTTATTTTCTGGCTGGGAGGCTGACGGAATGATGTCTTCCTCTTTCACGTCAAAGCCCGCGAGTTTAGTCACTGAGCCCTAAGTGAAAAGTGCAATCGATGATACAAGAAAATTACAAGAAAGGCACGAGGTCTATGCAGCCATACCTAAGATTGGGTCAGCATTTAAGAAAGACTAGTGTGCAAAAACCATGTCGCCTACTTGCAGTCGATACTCATGAGTGGAAGCAAAAAACTGTTGGACTTTAAATGAACGGGTTTCAAACGCTCGACAACTAATTGATAGGCGGGTAACTGGAAGAACAATAACGCACAAAACCTTCAGGCCTTAATATTTGATTGGATAAGCAGCCGACTAGAGGTGGAGACATAAGCGGCGGCAGTGAGCACGGTAAACACGAGCGCATACCTCAAAGGAGATCACATGTAGTCGATTTCCAAGGTCACCAGAAGAGAGAAGAAGGATTTTATTTAGAGGGTCCCAGGTATACCAGTTCGTCGGAACAGTGCCACGCTTGAGCATGCAAATGTGGTGATCCTGCGGGTAGATCTAGGGAAAATCAAGAGGTAACTACGTAGACAGATGTGATTTGACTGTTCTTCCACACAGCATTTCGAGTCAATTGTCAAGGCAAACAAGAAAATAAATAAACAATTTAGGGCAAAAAGTGTTGCAAAGAATGGATTTGTCTTGGTAGGTGAAAAACTAAGAAGGGGAGTGTACCTGATACACTTCAAAGCCTTCATTAGTCACGAAGATAATTTCATTTTCCTTGGACCAAACAAAACCACTTAATTGGGACGCAGAGTTCTACAAAATCCAAGAGAAAAAAAGAGAAAGTAAGCATAAATGACACAAAAACAGAGCTTCAAACACAAACTAAACACACCTTGCAGGCCTGCGAGTATTCCACATTGTCTGGTCGGCCGTTTTCAAAGTTTAAAAAGTCTACGCTGTTTTGTTTGCGCTGCATGCTAAGAATTGTGCAGCTTGGGTCAAACTTAATTGCCAAAAC